GAGAGAGAGAGAGAGAGAGAGAGAGAGAGAGAGAGAGAGAGAGAGAGAGAGAGAGAGAGAGAGAGAGAGAGTTTGGGGATGTTGACAAACACACAGACACACTGAGTTGGTGAAAGTCCGACAAAAAAAGTCGGGCACAGCATGCTTTTTTGGTGGGGTTGTGTATAGACTGTACAGTGGCCTTCGGGTGGCAGGAAAGAGTGTGTTTTAACTTTTAAGTCAGATATGCAGATGATTTTGTTCTATTGCTCACTGGGACGGAGAAGAACGCAGAAGGTACGAAAAGGCTCAGCCTGTAGTTATCAAAGTGTGCGACCGAACTTCACACTAGATGACAGCACATGCAACTCAAGGTAAACAGATCATGCGTCAGTTCAAATCCTGATGGACTCAGGTGCACACAATGATGCTCAGTGCTACCACCCAAAAAAAAAAAAAAAAAAAAAAAAAAAAGGGTGAATACAGATCATGCAGCCGGCCAGCCATGACGAGCACAGGGATCATCACTGGTTCAAGGTAGTGCAAGGGCAGAAGATAAATGATTGGCATGATTTAGCAGCAAGAGGCATCAGTCTGCAATGACTTGCTGATTCTGCAGCCTGCAGCCCGTCGAACCAAGGCTGTACCATAGGTTGGTTAGATTCGTAACTTTGTTTTACTAAGGGCTAACCGTGATGTCCGCTGGTGGGGGAGATTCGTGAGGGACATATCTGCAAATTTGGGAAAATTTCAGACCCATACCAATTCGGATTTCCTACAGCTACCCTAACTGTGAATAGCAGGCCCGGGCTACCACGTGGACATACAGGTCCTACGGCCTACGCTGTTAGACTGGTTCCATAGAATATAGCCGGGTAGGGAGAGGCCCTAGAGGCCAAAACGGAAACGGTACCGGTTGGTCCATTAGGTCCGGTCTAGGTCGAGTCTAGGCTAGAGTAGATCTATTAATAGGATGGGAAAGGCTGTTCAAGGCTTTTGGCGGTTGGCATTTTTGCAGATCGTGACGGCACAACCCGTGAACTGGAGTGGTGATAGCTTCAGCGTTGAGGAAGACAGACATAGCCAGACCCTCGAAGCTTCGGCCATAGCTGGGATCTCCGCTGTTCTCTGGCAGCACGTGGGGCTGCTCAGAGGTCTGGGCTATCTGAGGTCTGCCGGGAGCTCGAGAAGTTGGTGCCCTGTGGAACCCTCCTCAGGAGTAGGGTTCAGGGTGGTAGCGCTGCAGCCATAGCTGCAGCTTACATCCTCAGAGATCTCCTCTGTCAGGAAAGGTGGCGCTGCAGCAGATCTTCATCAGTGAAGTTATCCGGCACTCCATCTTCATCAGAGACTGTGGCGCTGGTCTTCTTCTTCATCCTCTGAGAGGCGCTTGGCCTCAGGGACCTGTTTCAGGGTGGTGCTTCCCTCTGGAGGCAGTATCTGGGTGGCGCTGGTTGTTTCAGGGGTTCTGGGGTAATAGATAGCGGTTACTCTGGGTTGGGGAGAGAAGCACTGCTCATTCCTGAGCAGCGCACCATGTTTCTGAGACTATTCTGACAAAACGATCATCTGAGTTTAATAAACAGTGAGGGTACTGTGCGAGAACTATCTTTGCTTCATTGTTTTCTGGATGCGATCTACTTGACTTTCCTTTGTGACTGGCTGTGGGGATTCTGTGGAGTGAATTGCACTTTCAGTGTGTTCTGTCATATCGCATGGTCAAGTCTTCCGCTGTGTTTCTTTCTCTCTGTGCGGGGTGATACTCCTATCCTCTCCCCTTCCTTCTGTGTATGTATGGACATGCATGGAAGTCTATGTGAGCGAGTGTTGGTCTTCAGACAACAAGCAACCAGGTTCATAACAAGTCAGTGAGGCATGACAAAGCTGAATCAGGCACTTTTGACTAAGGTCGTCACCCAAACAGAGCACCCGATCATTGTCGCTGTATCTAGACTGCAGGTTGCCCCAAATACAGCCATAATGACCATACGTTCTATTCCGGGGAAGACATTAGTCTAAGGACCTGTCCATGGAGCTGGTCGACCAGTAGGCCCAGGACGAAAAGCTAAAGGATTGGCGCAGCGGGAACGCCCAATGCCACCATCTGGTGGGCCACACCAAACTTCAATTATGTAAAAGGTCTGATCAGAAAAAGAAACTGTTCTTGTCACCCCCCCCCCCCCCCCCCCCCCCCCCCCCCCCCCCCCCAAAAAAAAAAAAGGAGGAATTTTTATTGTCCCTGACTCCCTGCTAAGCCCAGGGCAATAGATGAGTGAATCGCATGACAGAGCAGCCCCAGCCATAAGCCAGCCAGCAGGCCACGACAAACTCTAATGGTGTACCTGGTCCAGTCAACGGAGCTGTTCATGGTCCCCGTCAACGATACGATACAATAAGGGAGAAAGCTGATAGGTTGAGATGGATGGAGCAGCCAAGCCAGTGGGCGAGGACAAAATGCTAATCATGTGCCAGATTCATCTGAACCTGAGTCCATGGGCAATCTTACACCCAAACTGTCCTCCTTTTTCTTTTTTTTGAAATTTTTCCCTTTTTGTTTTTGGTAAACTTCGTTACAGGATCCCACTACAAGGAGCAGTCCAAAGCATGGGACTTGACTGCTGGTGTACCTGGTCCAGTCAACGGAGCTGGTGTACCTAAGCCCCAAGCATGGTATGGCCTCTAGCTGGTGAACTGGGCCCCACTGGTTCTATGTTCATGCTAGGGCGCCATGATCTGGGCCATCGTTAGGACTACCCCGATTGGGCCTGGACCCCTGTTCCTTTTTTTTTTCCCTTTTTTCTTTTTTCCAGACATGGTGCTCCATCTATTGGCGGGGAGCGTCACCTGCTGGAAACCCGGTCCAGCGTCCCAAAAAGATTGGCCCTGGTCCTTAGTTCCTCCAACGGCCAAAGTTGCCTGCACGGGCTTCCCTGATCCCTCTTCCTGCAACGGTGGTAGGACTGGGAGGGGGGGGGGGGGGGGGGTTGTGCTAAGTTCCAGGAGTGCACGGTTAGTGTGCATTTGTGCAAGGAATCCGTCTGACATGAATTCTTCTTCCAACATCACCTGTCCATCGATGGCTCTGTCCGCCCTGTGAACATGTCCATTCTCTTCTCCGCTTAACCAATGACCGTTGACTGTCCTTGTACCATTCCTCTTGTGGAGCTCTGCCCTTCGCAAACTGCCATTCCTCACTGTAGGCGGACCCATAATATCCATACCATGGCTCCCAGCATAATAGAGCTCTGCCAATTGCACAAAATCATAGACCTGATTGATAGTACAGATGCCAGCAAAGACACAGGGACATAGCCGTAGCGCGTATGACCATGTCTCCATAGCCCAATAGCCATGCAGCCATATCATTCACACAGATACAACAGTCAGATGCACAGGCAAGGAATGCTGCCATACCCTGCAGTCCACCATGTGATCACCCATGAAAGAAGCTATGCAGCTGTATGTCCACGCCGCCATCATCTGCACTGAGGCAATACTAAACTGCATGGTGCAAGGTGCCAAGACCTTCGGGACAAGAAGAGATAGATAGATAGATAGATAGATAGATAGATAGATAGATAGATAGATAGAGAGAGAGAGAGTGAGAGAGAGAGAGTGAGAGAGAGAGAGAGAGAGAGAGAGAGAGAGAGAGAGAGAGA